ATAGCTTTACATAGAGAGTCTTTATCAATATGAGAGAGGATTCATTAGAAAACTATAACGATTATAAAAATAACGAGATATTTGAAAACTAATTGGTTACGCATACGAATTGGAATTTCTATTTACATGTCAGTTATTAATATCAACATTAAATATTAACATATGAATGTCTGACTGTTATATATAGATTGACTCTTCGTTGTTTATTATCAATTTTGGTATTGTGTAAAATAATTTTCTACAAAACCAGAGCAAAACTTATATTATAAACCTCTCTTTTGAGTATGTAAAATATTTTTTTAAAAAGTCGTACTTGTTTTTCAAAAAAGATAAATGAATTGTAAATGAAAAATAAAAATAAAAGATCTATTGAATATCATTTGCCATATATATTATTATTTGTTATACGCATACCATCATGATGAATGCCAGTCGGTCAGCATATATGATTTCATTAGAGTTATTTTCAACATTTGAAAGCCTTGTCAATTATAATGATATAGATTCTGAAATCTTGGTTGAAAACCTGTATTTGTGATTAAAGGAGACGTTTTAAATGATTTAACCATTTTTTCTTTCAAAGGAAAGGTTGAGAATTTTCATTGAATACTAAAATACTAGTAAATCTATTTTATAACTGTCGTGTAACAAAGTACAACAATAATAATATTAGTATTAGTGTTAGTATTTAGTATTGTTTACCATAATGGATCGAATTCAGGTAATTCAAAATGCTGTTTATTAAAAAACCTATATATGAATGAATACAGTATTTTTTTTTAGTTACAAAAATTTTTCTACACGATTTTTCAATTTTCATATTTTTCAAAATCCTTCATTCGTCGTCCGTCCATCCAACCTAAATATTGTCCAACTATCATCATTTTTTTAGTAACTATAAAACTTTAAAAATTTTTTTTGTATGGTTTTATCTTTCCACATATATAAAACCATAAATTTAAATTATTTAATTTTAAAGGAAAAACAAATTTTGTAAATAGGTTTTTCTTTAATAATTTATATAAATTGTAAGAATGTCTTCTTCAGGAAAAGATATAATTGAAGCCATCGAAGAAGTAATCAGGATGATTGATTCACCATTATCTGAAAATAATAATTCAATATCAGATAACACTAACAATAATAGTGCTAGTGGTAGTAATAATAATAATATTAGCGAAACCAATAATATTGAAAGTGATAATATAAATAGTAATAGTGACAACGATAATATAAATAGTAATATCGAAAGTAATAATAATGATAGCGAGAGTGATAATATAAATAGTAATATTGATAATTTAAAACATATGAAAAAAATGGCGGTTTGTAAAATATTGTTTTTGATTTCTTAGATTATAATAATAACATCAAAATTTTTGAAGCATAGTAATGGTAGACAAAATCTGAAGTATGAAGTTTATATTTAATATTAATATACATAATTTCCAAACTTTCGTTAATTTTTTTGTAGTATAATATATAGTATATTTTTGTGCCGGAGCAGACGAAATTAATTTAATTAAAATACAAAGTTACAAATTTAAATTTATTTAATTATGTTATGTATATGTATTCACGTATAATAAAATCTTGGGAGCCCAATATAATAATTAAAAAATGATTCCTAGGCTACTAAAATCATTATCACCAGAAGTTTCTTCGAGTATTTTGTCGAGTATTCCACCAATATCTTGCTTTTTTTCAAATTTTTCACCTAGAATTTTGGATAAATTTTCAAGATTTTTGACTAATAATAAACTTTTAAGCTTTTGCACACAATCACGTAAATGACGCTCATTTTCATTAATGAGATTTATAAGTTCCTTAATTTCCACAATTATTTCATTAATAGTAGACATTTTTTTTTATAAAATATTAACGAAATGAATGTTATATATATATATATATAAGTTTTAAACAATGCATGAAAATAAACAATTCAAAAGTTTGCAGCTTTATTAATATCAATGTATTATATATCAATGTATTATATATCAATGTATTATATATCAATGTATTATATATCAATGTATTATATATCAATGTATTATTATTATATATATAAAATTGTGTAAGATTAATATGGATGTAAATAATTATAAAGAACTACCAGAATCGATAATTAATAAAGATGAAAATAATCATAAAGGACCATCAGAACTGTGGATTGATATAGATGAAATTAATTATAAAGAACAAACAGAATTGAATAAGAAGAATTCGAAGAATTCCAAACGTCAATTTACTAATTATAATGCTAAAAAAGAGCAATCAGAAAACGAACTTCAGCAATTATCAATCATCAGTATGTGTACGACATCAACTCTTGCAATAGAGCGTATGTATTCAATAACGATATTTGTTATCTGTTCATTTAGTGTTATAGTTTTGTTATTTTTTATTCAAAATTTGTATTTTTTTAATTTGTCCCAAGATCCATATATAGTAATAGTAATATAAGAAAATACATTGATTCCCAAAATATACTTTTATTTCCCAATTTTATTTAATCATTATATTATTATTATCCATTGATTCCCAATTTATTGTTTAAAATATTTTTGTGTGATCTAATAGTATTAGTACGGTTTGATGTTTTTTCGATTAAATAAAACATTTTTATTAAATCGCTAATACTAATATAATATTCAATGACACAATGGTGTTCGGTTTAATTAATTGTCAATGATTTTTTGTTATAAATAAATAATGAAAAAGATAGCACGATTAATTAAATTGGGAATCAATGATGTAATACCCCTTTGTTAAAAAAGGAATTAAAGAAAGGGAAACTAATATTGCATTTATTTTTTAAAATTTAAATTACGGCATATAAATGTATATTATTTTTTTATTTTTTTTTACATAATAAATCCTCTATCTTCATCTCTTTTTATGCTCTCTTAACGATTAGTAGATGCACTTATGAGAGCATCAATGGCACTTCTTTGAAGTAACACGCTAATAAGATCAGTCTTCTTGTTCAAAAAATTTCTTCAAATGTTGTGTATATATATATATCTTTTTAGAGCATTTTTGTTCATATCTATATTAATATATATATAATAATAATAACAATAATAATAACAACTCACGTGTGATTTTGACAATATTGTGCAATTGCCATTTAAAATTTATTTGGGACAAAATTAATTTATTGAATAATATTATTATTGTTGTTATTAATAATAGTAATAGGTGTGTATCTATATATAAAGGAAGAATTTACATTTTAAAATAAATTAAAATAAATAATCACTCTTGCAAATAAAATATCTATCAAAGAAAAATATTATTATTATTTCCCAAAATTATGTCCATATTGGAATTTACTATTAAAGAAAATCAGAAATTAAATAAAAAAATTCAGAAATTGAATGATGATTATCAGAACTTAACTGTAATATTCGTAAATTATTTAGAATATAATAATAATAATAAGGAATTTGAGGGATTAAAAATTTATAATTATTATAATAATAATGAAACTAAAAACCAAC